CGTGCCCTGCTCCTAGCCCCGTGTTGGTCGAACGCATCTACCACGCGATTCGTTTAGGGGCCCGCTGATGGCAGATACTTCTACATGCACAAGCGAAACGCAGAGACTTTGACCACTATCATTGATTACGAAGTAGAAATAGGCTGAACAATACATTCTGAAGAATGGTCAGCTTATCGGTGACTTCATCAGGCTGGGTACGACCGCAAAACCAGCAACGTTCTTCCGGACACAAGTGCGCACATCCATCACATCCAGAGGACTTGGTTAGACTGGGATATTCAAATTGTGAAGAAAAATTGAAGTTTTGTACAATATTTACTTCACAAACACTCTTATGAACACCGCTGCTGTTTTTTAAATGAGATTAAGACTACTTCTTAGCAATCCTACGCGATATTTGTTGATTAATTGCTGTTCTTTTCGCATTTAATCTGTGCACTGTAGATAAGAATCTGATTCCGAGTTCTGACCAGTACCTATTAGGGTACGAATCACGTTATAATAGTACCGATAATTACTACTTCTATGTAGTGATAACGAACACAAAATCGTTAGGCACAACCGACAACTAAAAACGCTCGGGGGAAGTTTCGCTTGACGCACTTCATTTTTTTCTTCAAGGCAGAAGTATACCAATAAACATGACTGAGTGCTGTGTTGTCAGAAGACACTAGTACATGCACTCTGTCTTCCGTGGCCGACTCGGAAATCAGGTAGTGATCACACGTCATCTCCGCACACTGACGACAGCGGTTCCCTCCCCGTACTCGACCTACGAACCTCGCTCATACCTTCCCTTAGTGTCACTGATCATAACACGCTGACCTAGCCAGACGGGCGGTGTGGGGGCGGTGAGTGCGAATCACAAGACATTTATAAATCCTGGGAATCCCTCATATTTTCATTATCTACAGTGTGTTGTCTAATTCATGAAATGTCAAGATCGACATTTAATAAACATTTGTGCTTGTTATTTTTGTTTATTAACTTGATTTGAGGGGCCAAAGGCAGTTTGTTAAGAAGGAGAGTTCACTTAAGATCAATTTTTGGGACCGAAAAGAGGCCAGAATTGGGAAAAAGCCAACAGCTCTTGATATCTAAGGAATGCTCAGCGCTACTAAACGCTACGCATAAAAGCTCTTGTTTGTGCGTAATACATACTATAGACGAACGTTCATATAAGCCAGAAAAGTTTTAATCACACCTCTTCAGAAAACTAAAAATTTTGTTTTGCATGAACAAGCTCCCTGTACATTTAGAACTTGAGTTTACTCATTTACATCCACCCTTTTCGTTTTCGGAACTTCCACCCTTTCTAAACGTAATATTAATTTCTAAACTTCAATTAGCCTTCTTTTTAAAAGTAGTCCTTTCTTTACTGCTTTAAGACTTTTTGGGACGCAGTGTGGGCTGCTTTTGCATAAAATCAATTTTCTCGCTTAATTCGCGACATTTCACAAAGGGCCCCATTGGCAGTACATAAGTGTATAGGGATTATTGAAAACCCGCAAGGGTGAGTATTACACATACTTGTAATACTACTCATGCTAAGTGAGTAGCCATATTTTATTACTATTTCAACAGCAACATCCGCTTGCAAGCAAGTAGTTGAAGTATTTTCCCATTTTTATTTTGTATCCATGCGTTTTTAGCTACCTTGTTACCAATATGACGCTCAAAGGTACTGACCTATCTTTCCCTCAATCAGCTGCTACTGATGTGTTCAATGGCTCGACACTTCTCCCCCATTACTCATCCACAAAGTCGGCTGTTTCTGATTAAGAAAAATGCAACACAGCGATTAATCAGACTGCATTTGAATCAAAGGACAGGAATCAAAAAAACAAACATGTTTCCCCTTCCACCGACTCATTTCCGCATGTGGAATTATCACTTTTCACACATACGCTGACATTCTTCCAGTGTTTCAAAGTTATTGCCGTTGCCACCACAGCCTCCGTAGATAAACTCCTCGCACTTTCCGGTACCGGCATCAAAGCCAAATCTCCGAAAGGCAGCCCGGCAGTGTCCTGTCTCTAATGGTAACGTGCAGACATCATGGCGGCCTAAATTAATGGAACACACACATAGGGTGACATGAATAATTTTACTATTGAGACTTTCGTTCGTATTAATTGCTAGACAGGCATGCCCCCAAGAGGTGTAGTTGAAGGCACCTCGGTTTCTAGGGAAAAGGCGTAAAATTTTTTGTGAGAAAAATTCGACGCTGTCGTTGTCAGACTTAAGTTAATGTGCAAAAAGCAATTGACATTTTGAGAACGGACTTAAAAAATCGATAGTCATTTAGAGGGTGTGCGCGTGCCAATTAGCGGCTGAAGTTTGCGCAAGGCTTTATCGATCGGTTTTCTTCTCTTCCCGAAGCTTTTGTACCTTGTCACCTAATTTAATTTGTTGACCAAGGTGCATGCTATGGGGGCCATTCAGCGACAGAGTATAAATTTGACAATGCTGGGGGGGGGAATAGCGGTGTAGGTAAGACATGTTAGCAAACTGAAGCCTTGCTACCCATTATAATTGCTGCGCTACAGATTAATTCACACATCAGAAATGGACACCAACATGGGCTGAGTACGCCGTGAAGTATGAGCCTTACATGTTGCCTTGCCTCTCACATATCTTGTCTGACAGGGCTTAGATAAAGATCGACTGTCGAGGGCAAATAAGTAAGAAATACCAGTCCGCTGAAATAATTCATTTTACCCCGCTATGGAAAACTCGGTGGTCTCATTGGGAAGGCTCTGTTAGAGCCTAAACTCCCCTATTTATTCGCTGAAAGATTTACTTTATAGGACGACTTTCCTGGATTCCAGTGCAGACCAGTAATTAAGCTAGAAGTGCTCTCGAGGAACGCAATTTGAATGTGGATGCACAATTCAGTGGTTGAAAGAACCGACTGAGCCCCCGTTCGCATATGCGATCTTCCGCACTTAGCCTTGACGTATGGTGAACTGGGGGTGGTATGGTAAACCCAAATGACCATACAACCTTTCCATTTCCACATGTCTTAGACATAAACCCCTTAAAAGTGAAAGTCGCTTGGTCCGCCCCACAAAATCGACATTTAAAAATGGGCAATGCAGCAGGTTGCAGGTAGCATGTGAAGTTGCATTGGAGTAGTCTTAAAAATGCGTCCACGGGGAGCGGTTGTCTCTTTGTCCCCATCCCGTCAGTATTAGTGAATGTACCTCCGCCTATCGAAAACGGGACTTGTTCGTTGATGAAAGTTCGCCAATTGCTGATGGCAGCAATGTTCATCTGCCTAGACTACTAGCCACCGTGCGGCTGCTGGCGGGACTCGAGACTGAACCACAAAGCAGGGCACGATGACTGAGTTCCGTTAGCGAGTTCAGTAAACTTTCATCAACAAGTGTCAATATCTCCCGACCTAAACCGACAAGACAACGAGTCCGTGGCCCAGTGGTTAGAGCGTTAGCCTTCTGAAGGGTTCGATCCTCAGTTGATGCACTAGTTAGAGTTAGAGGCTCGGGTGGGACGTCATTTGGGGTTGGGTATGGCTGGCTGATGATGACTAATGAGCCCGAAGTAGTCATTCCAGTCTCTACTGTCTTTGCTATCTGCCTAGGACTCACTCGTTACATCCTGTCGTAGAAACCACTTTCGAGTTCCGCCAGCAGCCGCACAATGGCTAGTACTACAAACGGAAGAGCATTAGTGACAAGCGCAGGAAGACTGGAATGACAGTTTCTGACTTAGTAGGCACCATTAGTCGGCCATACAAACTCCAGGTATTGTTAGTTCCAAATAAGCATGCAATTCTACTGCCATTTGCCATACCTCGGTACTCTGAAGGTAACTATATCCATGATGCACGGTTGGCAACTTGGAAGATCCTAACCAGTCGACCAATTTTCCAGTCCAGAAAAGTCTACCTGGCATGTCGAAGATAATAAGCTCCGATGAAAGCGAAAATGTTAGTCCTAGAGGTGGAAGTTTAATTTACCATCCACAATTGTTTAAATAATCTTATATTTGGCAACAAAAGAAGCGCGCCATGAATAGTTTATTTTTGGTTGTAGATTATTTTATTTTCTGGTTTGGTTTTTATTTTATTATTAGATTTTTTAGTTTTATTTTATTGTAGATTTATTTTTAGATTATTTAGTTTAATTTTTTTTATTTTACCTTTGTTTAGTTAATTTAGCTGTGTTTTAGTTTATCTTTAGATTTGTTAGCCACATGCGGTTGCTTTTGGAATTAAAATCACTACTAGTTTATTTGACCTTAGTTTGTGTAGTTTGCTTTATTTAACTTACTTAGGTTTTAGTTCAGTTGTTAGTTTAGTCTTTATTCCTTTGGTATGTTTTATAAGGTTTATTTTTGTTTTAGATTGGCCTTTATTTTAGTTAATTTAGCTTATGTTAGTTTACATTTCTTTCGTTAATTTACTTGAATTGTAGTTATTTAGTTCTTAGTTTAGTTAGCTCAGTTAATTTTAATTTAGCTTTTTTCAGTTAGTTTACTTTAGTTTAGTTTAGAGTTATTAGTGAAATAGGGTTTTTATTTTTATTTTTTCCTTCACTTTACTCTAATCTCGGCTATTCACAGTTCTTTTAGTTCTGCCAAAAATTTGAGCAGTTCCCGGTAGTGGCGTAGTTGCACATTCCATTTATGGCGCGCTTTTTGTTGCTAGGCCGTTGATTATTTATATAAATATTCCTATTTTTCTACTTTTATTCGCTCTAATTTTTAAATTATATTTTTCTTTTCCCCTGATATGCCTCATTCATTTAATCCTTATTACCACCTATCCCGTATTTTAAAAAAATGTGGTTTTCGCGTGCTATACTGGAACCTAAATTAAATTTCTATGGTTGTAGGAAGTAATTGAGTATAGCTCGATTCACCTGTCGCATACACATAGTAGTAAACTTCGACGAGACCGAAATTCTCGCGGGAGGTGATAATAGCGTGGGCCGTGAGCTGTTTGAGTCATGGTCCACGGGTCTATTAACAGGTGCAATGACCTTCCTAATTCATATACTGCACTGAAACTCCGTTTGGTCAAAGCACTTCGCCGCTTGGAGAGCGCACAGGTGAACGCACCGTCTAACGCCAGCCCCAGGGAAATAGAGAAATCATCACGTCCAAGTCCAGCACGGGTGATGAAAGTTTAGCAGGTTACGATCCGCATGTCGGCCATCAAGGAGTCAATGCACAAGCAGTCAACTATCCTTCATAGGGGGTACCGTTAATTGTCGTATCAGTATCAGTAGGTATGCAATAGCATAGAGACTGTATCCTGTGGCAGATGCGCGTACACCGATCTGCTAGAGGACACACTCGTCCGTCCATGGTGCCATTGGAGCTCACACTCGAGCCACGCCGCAAGGCGGCTAATGATATAGGCAAAAGGACATTACAGACAAAGACAAGGGAGACTAGGAGGACTATTTCTGGCGTGAGTGAGAGCTCCAAAGGTACCAGAGCGGGACGAGTGTGTCCTGTAACTGATCGGTGTGCGCCTATCTGCCACTGTATATTCCGGATCAAAAATCGACAAGACACCGAGCCCGTGGCGCAGTGGTTGGGCATTGGACTTCTAACTAAATAGGTCGCCGGTTCAAAGCTCGAGTGGGGCACCAGATTCCGGGGCAACAGATGGGTTTGGTTATGACTAGCTGAGGACGGCTAATAAGCCAGAAATATTCATCCTAGTTTGCCTCGTTTCTGTCGGTAATGTCCTTCTGCCTCTATCCTTAGGTGCCTTGTGGTGTGGCCTCGAGTGTGAGCTCCAACGGCAGCATGGATGGACGAGTGTGCCCTCTAACACATCGGTGTACGCGCATCTGCCATTATATATCCCTGATCAAATACCGCCAAGACAACGAGCTCGTAGCTCAATGGTAAGGGCATTTGACTCTGATCAGAGAGGTTGCAAGTTCAAGGCTCGGGTGTGACATCACTTGTTTCTGGGTATGACTAGCTGAAGACGGCCATTAAGCCAGAAATATCCATCCTAGTCTCCCTTGTTTTTGTCGCTAATGCCCTTCAGATGTGTATCCTGTAAATGTTGCAAATCCCCGTGTATGAATAACCCTTTTCTGTCACTGCCTCTGATGATGGCATCAAGAGGGACTCCGAAAGGTCCGACGAATAAAGTCCTTATCGCGTCTCGACAAGAAGTTTGCTTAAGCTTATAGCGCCTAGAGTGGTAGGAAGTGACTGGAACATTGCATGAGACAAATTTAAATGCCGGTCATGTTGTCCAACCATCTAATAGGCGCTCGTTGGAGTTCAAAATACGCACGCACTAAACCGGAAAAGTTCTGCAACTTCCCATATGTAACTTGAAAAGTTGATTTGGCAAGCGTATGTCTTCGGTAACTCATACTCGGGCTTGTACAACTGCGCTGATAATAAAAACAGTAGATTTAAACGGGGCAAATAAAGGAAACAGTAGCTTATTTAGTCTTCCTCATTAATCCCTACTCCCAGCATGTTGTCCTATGAAAACAGTGGTTATAGGGTTATATGGGTGGGGCATTAGGACACACAGTGGAATATACTTTAATAACTGCTAAATGCATTTAAATTTTACTGTATTTAGAAATGTTGTTGATTTATATCTGTAGATCTTCTTAATATATATTATTTTTTAACGTATTGCGGAAAAACTCGATTATCAAATTGCAGGTTTCATGAAAATCCCGAAAAATACAAATGATGGTTAGGAGGTCGCCTACTTCAACCTATCTGAGGTCCAACTTACCTCTCTGGAGTTAGATTAGCATAGTCCGCGGCGCTTGGCGCCGCGCGCAATTTTAATTTACGTGCTGACCAACTAACTCCCAGCAGCCACAGTAAAGAAGTTCAACTACATTTTTCCACTTTACATTTACTCCAAAAAATTTCCTTCTCTGCCTATCCTATTTCCCCACTCCCCAAAACCCTTTAACTATCGTTTTTGTAGGACAAAATGTTGGGACTAGAAGTATATGAGGGGGACTACATAAGCTACTTTTGTCCAAATAAAGGTCTGATGATTAAAACTCGTCATGTCGCCCGCATGGTGAAATCGGCATGTAGCATGTCGTCCCCACCCCCTGGTGACAGTGGCTCACTCCGTGCACGTGACGATGATTTTCCTGCCGCGTAATCGACCTACGAACAGTACACACGGTCTATCCCATTTGCCCCCTCCCCTCCCCAGTGCAATGGTATCTACACGCCGATCTCTCCATGCGATCGGTGTTAAAATGATGATTCATAAGATATTACTTAACGCTATCCGACTCTCCTCTTTTAATTATCAAGGCAATTTTACAGGCCCGATGATGAATTGCCGAATGGGCATTTCAAGTTAAACATGGTAATAGTTGCAGTTGTATTTGTTTGTCGCGGTATCGATCGTTGAGTACTGCTCACATAATACCACTACCTGCGAAGACTCCAGCTGGGTGTCACAGAGCTGAAGGCGAACCCCGCCTTGCATCTCATGTGCTGCTTGTATGTTAGATATGCTGATGATGGGGTTGTTGGTCAGCCCCTTAAAAATCAGACATATCTGGAGGTTATGCAAAAGCGATGAACTAAATATATTCCGTTGCGTAGATTTGCGCAACCGCGCTGTACGCTAATAGGATTCTTCGTGTAAGTCTCTTTTTGATTATTAAACCGTTGTAGAATGATTATTCTTCTCTTTATTTATTGTATTTAGAAATGTTGTCGATTGATATTCTGTAGGGTTTCATTTCCTTCACTATAACTTAACTGAATAAGGGAAACTCGGGGTGCACGAAATGCAACCTAAAAACTTATAAGGAAACATCAACGATTTCATTATTTAGCAATCACTGGTTTTATTAAGGATGCCTTTATTAAACTACTAATAAATTACAAAGCCACACTTCCATCTTCCGTGGACTGGCTTTTCACGATTTCCTCTTTTTTTTGCTGATAGCCCAATTTTCTCCTTTTTGTCGCGCCCGCAAAAACAAGAGAAATCGCGAAATGTCAGTCCACGGAAAAAGAGAGTCTGACTTTCTAAGTAATAAAAAAGATGTTTACGTTAAAAAATTGCGAGTTGACTCTGGGTTTCGAAATTCTTTTATCGGTTGTATTTGGTGCACATTGATGCTTGCCTGTTTCCCTCAACCACTAACTTCATATTAAACAATAGGTAAAGATATAATTTTTTTATTTATAACATTTCCAAATATGCCGAATACAACAATATATCTCATTTTACAATGATTTATAATCAAAAGAATCTTACACACAGTAGCCAATCATCGAAAGTAAGTATTTGCACAGGGGGACGTATAGGGCTTCTCTATGCATAATGGCCTGAACCACGTCTCAGCATGATCTTTGGCAAACGGTTTTCTACTGAATGATCAGAAATCAGTCTAGTGCGTTTTAGGATTGCGACAATCTGCCAGTCCAGAATCCCTAAATATTATAACTAATGAGGTATCTTCCTTCTGGAGTATCTTGGCGTTACTCTGACATCCTTCACATTCATAAACCTTTCACAGCAAATCATAAACCTCTTCGTTATATTCGTCGCTTACGCTCCTATCAGACGTCTCAAGTCCTAATTTGGCCATTTAAAGATGTCTGTATTTTCTACCGTTCTTAAATTATTTCTGGTAGCCTTGCTTTAAAAAGATATGCTAATTTTAAAACGCCTCGTCCAAATGCTCTCTTCAGCCGCTGGTGTTTTGTTTTGCCACTTTAGGTGACGTAACCGCGACATTTTACGACGGTCGAGCAATGCACTGATGATGAGAGAGAAATATGCTTTATTTTGAAGGTAATCATCAAAACAATTCAGCAAAAGATGGCTCCGTTCACTGAGAGCAAGTGATAGGGTGAGGTAAAAAGGTCAAAGAATACTCAAAGTCTGAAGGCTTACATGATATCTATTTCTGTTATTGAGATAGGTTTGATTTCAACTTCTGACTTTCCTTTTCATGATTTCCGTTTCTTTACACGTGAGGTGGCCTGCTAGGCATAGGAGTATGCAGTGCTGATATGCCGATCTTCGGCAAGACAGATGACGAAAGCTTCGGCGCATAGTACGGGGAGACGTCACCGCCAGTAGTTCAAAGTGGAGAGGATGAGCGACCTCACAAAGAATGCGATCAGCAAATTGCTTGACCATTTTAAAGTGTCGCTGTATCATAATTTCGGCAAAAGTAGCTTATCTAGTCCCCCTATTATACCCCTAGTCCCAGCATTTTATCCTACGAAAACGGTGGCTATAGGATTTTGGGGGGTGGGGAAATAGGATAAGCAGAGAAGGAAATTTGTAGAAGGAAGTATAAAGCGAGAAAATAGTCGAAGTTTTTACTGCGGCCGCTGGGAGTAAGTTTTTCCATATGCAAATTCAAGGTGTGCGGGGCGCTTCGCGCCAAGGGCTATACTGACGTAACTCCAAAACGGTAAGTTTTACCTCAGATAAGTTGAAGTAGGCGACTTCCTAACCACCATTTCTATTTTTCGGGAATTTAAGAAACCTGCAGTTTGATAATCGGGTTTTTCTGCAATTCGTTAAACGATAATACAGACTAGAAAAATCTGCATTCATAAATCAACAACACTTCCAAATACAATAAAATGGAAATTAATATAGCAGTTATTAAGGTATCTTTCACTGCGTATGCTAATTCCCCACCCACAAAACCCTATGAACACCGTTTATTTAGGACAACATGCTGCAAGTAGGGATTAATGAGTGGGATTACATAAGCTAACTTTGTTATAATATCAGCCAAAACGAACATAGGACACACCGACGCCTCGAAAGAGCATTTGAAGGGTAACCCTGGCCAACGCTATTATTTTCATTATCAATGCCCGGTGAGTAACTGCCGAAAACGCAGATTTTCGTCAAATAAAACCGGAAAAAGACAAAAAGCAGACTGAAAACAATCATGTTTCCTTCTTAATTGTAAAAAAATGAGAAATTTCAATGCAAAATGTGCATCTTACCTTCGGAGGGACAGGTGAGGAGATGGAGAAGAAGCAGCAGACCAACGGTGGTGATGAGATGAGGCATATTTCTGCTCTCTGGACTCGGATCACATGTGAACGCCAATAAAAGCCGGGGTTTTGAAGTGTTCTGTTACATTTGACAGGGTGCACATCCACTCACATGATCCGATCTCCACCACCTCGACAACTGCGCAGTTCAGCCAACACGCATGTGTAAGTAGCTTAATTAAAATTCCGGGCGTAGGCTTCAGTCGAATGGGCGTTCACATCGAGCGCGTTTCGGTTCGATACAAGAGCGAAAAAGGCTCTATTCAGGAGTCCTTACGCCTGGCGTTTGTAGCGGCCTACAAAATGTACAAAACGTGTTGGAAATATGAAACGCTAAATTCTAGAAAGTAGTAACTAGCTAATTGTAACTAAGCTACTACAAACTTAGGCGATAAGAAAACTGATATAATTTTTGAAACAAGGACAAAGTACCAAGGTAACGATACGACTCACTGAGATGGCCGCAAAGTTGAATTGTAACGAAGAAGGCTTGACCAAAGTTGTTGGCCAAGTTCAGTCCTCCCGTCCAGCGAAGGTTGCACCACAACTGACAATGTGCTTAAAATAGGAAGGTCGTTTTTCGGACGGTTTTCAAGCATACTGATTAGATCACTCTTCAGTCCCGCTAATGATTGAAGGCTCTCAGCCACGTGTAGTAACGAAAAACAGAAACCAGGTTGCAGAAAAGTGTAGTTTTATTCAAACAAAGTGTGCGCAAGTAATGTATATAAACGAATGCAGGTAACCACATGAAAAGAAAAGGTAGAAGGACTCCCTTAGGTGAGGAATGTATCAGAGGCGGCTGCAAGAATCCTGAAACAATTCGGTATCGGTGTTTCTCACAGGCCAGAGAAAACCATCAGAGGCCCAAAGTCCCGCTTTAGTAGACAGAACAATCATTTATGATCTAAAGTATACCATGCCAAGACTGCAATGCAAGTTATGTTGGTGAAACGGGAAAACGCCTTGGCATAAGGTTGCATGAGCATCAAGAGGCAATCAATCGCAAGGATAAGCTGTCTAAGGTCTATGACCACGTACAGCAGAAGAATCACACGTCCGCCTTTGGGAAAGCAAGACCGAGCCAATGACAAGATGGTCAGGTTGCTGCTAGAAAGTTGGTCCTCGACTAGCACACTTAACGGAGCCATAATCCTTCATCCCGCCTACCAAGCGCGCCGCAAAAGGCTAACATCTGCTCAGAACAAAGCAAAATGTCGGGTGAAAGAAGAGGCGCAGGGCCGACGGCCGGCAGCCACGAGGGAAGAAGGTGGGAACGCTCGTAAGGCACACGAAGGACGTGACACATCTCATGGAGGCGCCCGCGAGGACGAGCACAATTCAAACAGCCAGCAGCAATCGATCGGTACAATCGATGGATGTGCGAGTATCAGGCACAGTTATAACACGCATCTAGCAGTCAGACACACTCACTCGACGCTAGCAGGAGAACAGACACTAGGCTCTGACGATGAAAGCGAGCATGTTTTCGAAACATCAGCTTACATACAACTTGGTCAACTCAGGAGTTGCCCCTTCTTCTTCCTCTTCCGGGCATGATAAAGGCAATATTAGATCTGGACCTCGAATATTTTCGCATATTAAGGATCTACGTGTTTAGCCCGATTTTGCAAAAGGACAGCCTTCCGCTACCATCGAGCTGGCTTTTTCTGCTTACGCTTTAATGCGCGATAGACTGCTTTGCAGGACATGGGGTTGAATGTCGACTTAGTACTTGAGAATGAGAGCGAGGAATGCTATACTTAGAATGGAAAATCCTAAACTTTCAGCAAAAATGGCTCCATTCACGGAGAGCAAATGATAAGGTAGATAAGGGATCATGGTAAAAGGTCAAAGGTAAAAGGTCATGTAATACTCAAAATTAAAGTTTTACACGATATCCACATCTACTATGGAGACAGGCCAGCTTTCAACTTCTCAATTTTCGCCTCTTCAC